TGACCCTGCTGGTTATTTAAAATACTGGTGGCAGAGCCCTCAGAATCACAGCAATTCAAACCACCACAGGATGACAGACAGACGAGTGGTGGTTGTGTGGTCGCTGCTAAACACTAATCTCCTTGCTTTCGCCCTTAATTCCAGCTCAAAGGTAAGATTTCTGTCCTAGGATGTCCTGTCAGTGAAGAGTCAGAAAGTGCAGCAGGGGCAACAGGGTTGTAATGAGATGCTTTGCGCTGTGCTTGTGGGTATCTATGTTGGTCGAGACAGCCTCAAAGTCATGATCCAACGGCTATGCTGGATGGTGCCCTCTTGTCCAAGGTAAGTAGGACAGCCTGGCTGACAACTGCAGTCTCTTCCCGCTAGGCAGCATTCCTCCCCCTTCCCCCCCCCCTTTTGACCTGGTCTCCAGACACTTCTCACCCCGCCTCTCCATAGTCTGGGTTTCATTTAACACCTCCACCAGATCTTCAGTTTGTGCACATCTTTCAGCACCACCCCCTCTATTAGCGCGACCATTGGAATACATAAAATCCTAAAATGTACCCAGTGAAGGAGGCTTCCTGCTGATCCTCTGCATTATGCAAGACCATAGGTGGAATCCTTAACCTCACTGAGAATCTCCTGTGGTGTGAAATTTCCACTTGAAAGGACAAACAGACCACCCTAGAGTGACTAGAAGGACAGAAGAGACTTCTTGAAAGAAAGGCCTACAGGAAAAATACAAAGCAATCTAGGCAGTCAGATTGATTACTACAAGAACAAGCAAGTTGCTCGCCCAGGAACCATCAAGGCAAATGGTTGGGTCCCTTAAGGGCAAAATCTCTTCCAAGACTAAGACTTAATAGGAGTACAAGAGCAGACATGTGCTCTGATTTATGACCACGCTCGTCACCAAAAGGAGAAATACTACATAGGACCACTATTGTAAATGACTAAGAAAATGAACCCATACTAAAAGGGGAGGATTTTTTGCTGGTTACCAGGATATGGGAGGTTGCAGTGAGGGGAGACAGGGGAAGGTGGAGCACAGGATAGTTAATAGACACCAGGATAGTTTGGGTGCTGGGGTAGGGGGCAATACACAATAAGGAGGAGTGGAATGGAAGAAACAGGCAGTTAGGGAGAACAGTTAGGCAGGTTTGCATGGGCTAAGTGGGACAGAGGTAAATAATGTTGTATGCAAAACTTTGGAACAACATGTTCTGTGATACAGGGATTGAGGCAATGTTTGAATTGGTAAAATAGGGGAAATAATGTTGAGATGCTTGGCTATCTTTTGAATCTTGTTTTCCCTTGCCCACTTGAGGGGGAGAGAAAGGAATACCCAGAACCATCACCATAGAAAACATGTATGTCTGTCTTCTGCCAATAACTGATCAGAATACCTAAAATGGAGCCACAACTTGCCCACTGAAGGATGATTCCTATGGAGCCTCTGCATTACATAAGACCATAGGTGGAATCCTGAACCCCATCCAGAATCTTCTAAGGTGGGAAATTTCCACTTGAAAGGACAAGCACATAGCCTAGAAAGGTTAGAAAAACAGAAGATACTTCTTGAAAGAAAGACTGACAGGAAAAATACAAAACAATATAGGCAGTCCAAC